TTATGCAGCCGAAGAAGTGGGCTGTAGTCCACGAAAGCTTATGCTCTAATAAATTTGTTAGTCTCTAAGGTGCCACAAGTACTCCTGTTCTTCTTTTTAAGAGCTGGAAAAGACCAAGCGCAATGGCTGGACAATAACTGTGCTTAATGCATGACTGACAGGCCTGGAGGCTGCCGTCCTTTAATCATCCACAGGGCAGGTCTGGCACGGGCAGCAGGAATGCTGGCTTCCTCCCTGTTAGGCACAATTAGCCTGCGGAACTCAATGCCACTAGAGATCTCTGGGGCTGAGTTTAGCAGAAGTCAAAAAGGGGATTGAACCTTTGCAGAGCAGGGATTTCCAGAGCTACAACAAAAGCGTTGGGAGGGATTTAAACCGTCCTGCATAAGGGCATAAACCAACCTTCTAATGAATGTGGGATCAGCATTCCCTGTGAGCGGGTAATGCCAGAAGTGCTTGCTCCTGGGTTTCTTCCACCTTCCTCTGAAGTAGCTGGTTCTGGTCCATTAAATGGAACCAGCATTTGTATAAAAAGCTCAGGCCTACACACTGCCACAGATCCTCAAAGGTATTTAGGTGCTTAATTCCCCATCAACTTCAATGGGAGTTAGGTGCCTAAGTACTATTGAGGGTCTGGGACCCTCTGCTCTGGACAGATCCCTCACCCTGGGTAACCCCCCTCCCCCTGCATAAATCCCATCGCTTATTCCTCAAACCAGCTCTTTTATGATACTGTAGCTCTGCCTCGGATCCCTCTGCGTCAAGCACGGCCTGGAGCAATGCGACTGCGTTAGCACGTCCAGGCGGGAGAAATGCCACCTCTGCTGCCAGCAGCCAGGTACGCAATCCGGCTGGCTGCCCGCAAAGCCCTGGCGCGGCTTCTTCCTAGAGTGAGAGGAGGAGGAGCAGCCTGGGGCCAAGGGAGGACAAGGGCTGGGGGCGACGTTGTCAGCTCTGTGCCATCAATGGACTTTAAGTGCCAGCAGCGCAGGGGAACGTATTAGACCAGGATGCCCTGACACAGTAACCTTTGCTGGCCGTAGCATGGCCCTATTCCCTAGAGGTAAAAAAGCAACCTCAAAGCTTCCTTTTATAATAGGATTAAGGCTCTCCAGGGTGCTCGGTGATCTATTTATACGCAGGATAGACAGCCCCGATGCTCCAGGATATGACAAACCAGCAGAACGGCACGCGTCTCGGTGTCGAACCCTAAAGTCGTGCTTTTCAAACCCCTGCTCCAGGCCAAGTGCACACATGTGCCAGTACAGCCTCTGCTCTGCTGGAGCGTTACTTCAACGGCACACACATCCCGCTGACCCCCGGCACGCCCTGCAGGGACAGGATGGGCTACTGCGATAAGTTTCACGTCTGTCGGCTCGTGGACGAAGACGGACCCATAGCCAGGGTGAAGAACTCCATCTTGGATTTCATCGAGCTGGAGGATATATCAGCCTGGATGAAGGTAAGCAGCTGCATGAGATTCTTTTGCCCCCTCATCTCCTCTCTCCCCCAGAGTTTCAGGCCCCTTTGAGGATCTGGGCCTAGGTCTGTAGATCTACAAGTCTGGGGGGAGTGAGCAGTTAACACAGGGGGCTTGAGATCTGGGGTTCCTACCCCTGGGTCGCCTGTGACCATGGGCAATTCACCTGCCTCTCCTCTGTTCCACACCTGTTAAATGGAGGTAACAGCATCCTCCCTCCCAGGAGTGAATGATTGCGTGGAAAGCACTGTGGATGAAAGCGCATCACGGTGGAAGGGAGTATGGGGGACATACGCTCAGGGCTTGGTTTTCAGAGCTCTCGTCGGTTCCCGCTGGGGTGGAAGGTGCTCAGATGGCCCTCGTGAGGGTTCTGGTCTGGTTTCGTCCCTCAGACACGCTGGTGGGCTGTGCTCTTGATGATCCTGACTTTGGCAGCTGTGATGGCCGGCACCGTCTTCCTCTTCGGAAGGACGCTCGACAGCGAAAAAGGCAAGTAACTGCTTTAAGCAACTCCCGCTCCGTCCAGTCCGTTCCTTGCTTTCTCAGGCAGGATGAGCTCATCGTCCGCAAGCACTGTCCCGGAAACGGTCAGGGAAAAATACAGCCCAATGTCGCTGGTACCTTCTGTTCAACCGACACCACACTGAAAACTGTTGTTGGGCTCCGCATACAACCCAGCACCACCAGAGGAGCCACACGTAACCTTGATTTTTAAATGTTCCCAATTCATATTGTTAAAGCTAAGGATGCAGTCAACCAAACTTAGTTTCCAGGTTTGAGCTTCCAGGGTCAGTTACAGACAATATAATTTTGTAGAGGACCCTGGATGACACTTTGAATGATAGAACCAAACTTCATTTAAAAGAGAAAGTAGTAGTTAAGCAAACAGGTGTACGATTACCATTTATGCAGGTACTACATTGATACTTACATTCAAAGATGGAATGGTGCATCAATGGACCATCAGTCCACTAACAGAATGAAGTACAGCCTTATAACCTTGTAACCTACCGGTACCCTTTTGGTGTTAACGGGAGCTCACTCCAATGTAGCAAGGCCACTCCTTTTTCTAACCCATTATGACTAATTAACATTAAAACCTACCTATTACCATAGCTACATTTCCACCACCTCTTTATTGGCTCTTTATATTACATGATTGAAATCAACATCTGCACCAACATCTTTCCCATACTCTCAGTACAGCTAGCATTTTCATAAAACAGCCGCAATTCTCAAAAACACTCATTAAAAACCCTGCTAAAACCAGCTAGAACCACAACATAACCCTGGCTTAGGTCCTTGCTACCTTCAATTTTCTCACCTTACTAGCTACAACTTCTCTCTCACTTTTGCTCACGCCAACTCCATTTCCATACTCCTCTGTACTTAGCCTAATTTAGGCCAAAGTCTATTTTCTACTTATTTCTTAACTCAATACATCCAGTAGGCTACACAGGGAAGCTACCACTGTGCTTATGTCTGCTAGGGGGTGAAGAGCCCTTAACTTGCACCCAGGTGAAAATTTCAGGGGGAACCATTGAGGTCCAGCTGTTAAGGAGGTGAATTCCCTTACACTTTCCCCATTAGCCTGCTTCCCTTGCAGCCTTCCCCTCACATCAGCGGTGACCTCAGACCTGCATAGTTGCAAGCAGCGACCTTTCGCCCCTTGTCAGAACGCAGCCAAGAAACCGACCACACTTGCCCGTTCAGGGATACAGGAGGTGCTTCCTGCTATGGACTGTGCAGCAGGAACCCTACCTGGGCAGTGCTGCACGCTCTCCATCCAGCTGGTAACCTCCTCAGCTCACTGTGGCGGACAGAATGGGAGAGAACCTCTGCCACTACCAGGAACTGTCACATCCTCTCCAGGCCGGATAAATGGCTCCCTGGGTTTGGGCGCCTATGCCATCATTGGAGCCGGCTTAACGCAGGTGTGGCTGTGCCAAATCCAACCATGCCTGGGGCAGCTGTGATGCTGCACGTATTGGATGGCTGCTCTTTCATGGTGGGCTCCCCAGAGGTCTTCCCTCGCTGAACGTTGCACTCCGAGGCCACTGACTGGCTCTTAAGGCCATTCACCTGCTTTCCCTCCCTCCACCAGACCTTGCCTTGCCCACGTACAATCGCTTTCTCTCTCACACGCGCTCTCTATCCACACACACCCCTTCTGCCCACTGCTCCCATAATACAACTCCTGCCCCCACCCCACTAATGGACCAGCTTCTCCCGGCTCAGCCTCTCTTCCCCATATAGCTGTGGTCCAGTGTCACGTGCTCCGAAGGTACTGCACCATGCACCAGAGATCTTTGTATGCTCCTCTCCACTGCCCTTGTGCTCATGAACTCATAAATCTTAAGGCCAGAAGGGACCATCATGATCATCTAGTGTGACCTCCTGCCCATCACAGGCCACAGAACCTCACCCACCCACTCCTGTAATAGGCCCATAACCTCCGGCTGATTTTCTGAAGTCCTCAAATCTTGATTTAAAGACTTCAAGTTACAGAGAGTCCACTAGTTACTCTAGCTCAAACCAGCAAGCGATACATGAGAGAGCTAAACACCAGGGAAGGAGAGGAGTTATTTAAGTTAAGGGCTAATGTTGGCACAAGAACAAATGGATATAAATTGTCCATCAAGTTTAGGCGAAGGTTTCTAACCATCAGAGGAATGAAGTTCTGGAACAGCCTTCCAAGGGGAATTGTGGGGGCAAAAACAATCTAACTTGTTTCAAGACTGAGCTTAAGACATTTATAGAGAGGATGGTAGGAGGTCCCCTACAATGGCATGTTGCCCATTTGCAACAGTTGTTAGCAAATATTTCTAACAGCCGGAGACTGGACACTAGATGGGGAGGACTCTAAGCTCTAAGACTCCACAGATAACTGTTTCCCAGGTATCTTGCTGGTAGGTCTCATGCATGTGCGCAGGATCTGACTGACTGCCATATTTGGGGTCAGGAAGGAATTTTCCTCAAGTCAGACTGGCAGGCAGAGACCTGGGTGGCTCTAGCACATTTCACTTTGCCACTCCCTTGAGCACAGAATACAGCAGAGAATCCGTTAAGGGGACACAGATCAAAGCCTCTATGAGTTCCTCTAATATCAGGTAATCCAGGGCCTTAATGAAAGTTCCATGCTGGTTTTAACACGTTTATGTAGCTGTTCACAGGTCTGGGATAGCTCAGCTGTCCAGCCATTTACAGTTGTCCCTTTGCAAGATTTCTGTGCACAGTGGCTTCATGGTATGGACTCCATTCTCTATGCAACCCCTTAAGAACGGCAATACTGGGTCAGACCAATGGTTCATCTAGCCCAGCATTCTGTCTTCTGCCAGGGGCCAAGCAAAGCCACCACATAAGATGCTCCTCCAAATCAGAAGCAAACTGGGCCTCTGCCTCTGGGTAAACCCACAAGTAGACGGGCTCAGAAAAGAACCCTAGCTCCAAACACCTGGTCATTGGTAGGGTTCAGAATCCAGATTCTGATCCAAATTTTCACCACTGGTTGCTTTTGATCATAGGCCACGCATCCATGGGGGAATTAGAGATGCAGCTGTTAGTTCATCCATGGGACGACCACCTGGTTACCTAACAATAGGCCAGCCGCTTTACAAGAATCATCGATGATGATTGTTGCATTTTTATCTTTTACTTAGAGGAGAAAAGCATGAAGTGCACCGTCAAGGAGAACTCACTCAGCCAGCAACCTGAGAAAAGGCGAACATTAATATACTGGGAACACGAGGAGCTCTACGTTGAAACAACACACCAGGAGTACGAGACCATAATATAGCAGACGCACGTCATCCTGATCCAGGTCTGCTCTTGGAGGGCATCACCATCCAGAACACATGAGCAACACCTTGGAGCAGCTTTTTCCAAAGAGCTCAGCTCCCATTTAAGCACCGAAACGAAGTGACCAGATTTTTCAAACATACTCAGCGTCCAGCAGCTGCTGCTGAAAATCCAGCTACTCCCAGTCAGGACTCCTGGGTTCTACCTCCAGCTACTAGAACAATAAGTGCTTTATGCAGAAAGATATTCCTTGCTCTGCCACTGACTTGCTGAGGTACCTCTGCCAAGTCCCTTCACCTGCCTGCTTCAAAAAGACGGGGAGAGCTAATGTCTGTAAAGCACTTGGAGATCAGCTATTAGAAGAAATGGAGGAAGGAAGGGAAAAGTTATCTGCTGCTGCTTTTACTGGGCCAAATAAATCATTTAGTGCATCACGTTCTCAAATAAGGAATTTCACATTAAAAATATATATTTAAAGTCTGACACTTTTCACGTAGGATATCTAATTTCCCCCCTTTGCTAAAGAAGAGTCTGATTCGGCCATCCTTACTCACAGGCCATCCTATAGGAGTAATCCCACTGAATCCCATTGATTGTGAGGCCATAAGAGACCATTATGATCAATAGATTCAATGCTGCAAGAACAAAATTATTCAGTATTGGGGGTCACGGCCTGGGATAAGGTGTCAAAAACCCCTCGTCACTCCCACGGTTTAACATTCTTAGGGCAGTAAGGGGTAAAAGCCCCCTTCCTCTCCATTTGATAGAGTTCTACAGTAATTTGCAGAATCTGTTCTTGGGCCAGATCTTTTCATACCATGAGTGGCTGGTTAATTGTCGGAGGTTGGTTTTTTTTAAGGTACACAGCACTGAAATAGTTGGCACTCACTTTCTAGATGGCCGAAGTTTCCTAACAGTCTATTTAGATTGCAAGCGCTTTAGGGTAGGGAGTGTGTGTGTGTACAGCACCAGCGTAATGGGGCCCTGATCTCCTTTGTGGCCTGTAGGCACTACTGTAATAAAACCCAACAATAACAGCAGAGCCGGCATGCTAACACCAACCCACGAGCAAAGGGAAGTTCCAGAGTCTTTTATTGGAGCCTTTGCATGGCTGAGCTGCCCTCTAGTGGGGTGTACTACATCTCATCTCCGAGACTGTAGCATGGAGGAAACAGCAAACGCAGGAGAGAGAGAGTGTTCATTTGAAGAGGTTCTTCATGTACTTCCAGCCATCCTGGGTGTATTCATGGACCTTGGTGGGAGCTACAGATAGAGCAGACATGGTGGCCTGAACTCCTGCAGGAAAAGTAGCGGAGAGATGTCCTGAGAAGAGCATTAACACAACGCTGAACTTGCTACTGTTATTCATGATGGATGACATAGATCTCCCCATTTAATAGGGGAGATCTATTCTTATGAAGGGAGGTTTCAGACAAACCTAGGCATAATTCTTGTCTCATCTGGCATCAGTGGACTCTGAGGTGGGGAAATCTGTCTCACACCATCTCAAACCAGGTCAGAAAGATGGTTTTGTGGTTAAAACAGCACCAGAACTTGGGAGAGCTGAGTTTTATTCCTGGTCCTCCCATAGACTCCCTCTGTGTAACCTTGGGCAAGTCACTTAATTTCAGTGGGCCTTAGTTTCCCTGTTTGTAAAATGAGGAAATGTAGCTGCATCATGAGTGCACTGAACTAATTTGCTAAGTGTCTACAGAGTGCTTTGAAATGCTCAGATAAAAATTGCTAGAGAAGGACAAAATATTATCTTAAGGGGGTGCAGGAATAAAGGGAAACATCTTCCCTTTTCACACTAGCCTAGCAGGGCAAAGGCTGAGTTCAACTGTACTAAGTAGCCTTATACAACAAGCCAGTTGTGTTTATAAGCTCTTCAATCCTTCATCAGAGACGGGACTTCTCAGGAGTAAAAGTCATCATAGTGTCTCTTTATATTGCTACCTCCTTGATCATGGTCAGTTTTGCTGTCTTAAATTACCTGCTGCATAGGTAATAATAGTAAAAATCCCTAGTTCTTACACAGCACTTTTCATCAGTAGATCTCAAAGCGCTTTACAAAGGAAATAAACATCATTTTCCCCATTTCACAGATGGGAAACTGAGGCACAGACAGGCAGTGACTTGGCCATGGTCACTCAGTAGGCCAGTGGCAAAGCCAGTAATTACAACCCAGGTGTCCCAAGTTCGACTCCATTGCTCTGTTCACTAGGCCACACTGCCTCCCACCCTTCTTTCCTCTTTCAATCTAATGGGCCAGCATTCTAGGATAAATTGTATCACTGATCATAGACCCATTCTATAGCTTAGACAGTAAAGGATCAAGTCTTACCTGTGTTCCAGGATTCAGAGACAGAAAAGTCAAATTTTGGAGTGGATGGAAGCTAAAAAAAAAGGAAGAAAGGGGTGGGGGAGAATCAGAAGTGTTTGTGGACATGAACTATATATGAAACGGCTAAATAATGGCTTAGAGGGGATAATGAAAAACTGAAGCTACCACAGACTCCCTGGGTCACCTTGGGCAAATCACTTAAGCTCTGACTCAGTTGACCCAGCTGTTAAATTGGATCAAAGGGTAACATTTTCAAAAGCAGCTTAAGTGCCTAAGTCACTAAGGTGACTGAGTTGCTCACAATCTAAGGACCCGGATTAAGTGAGGGGGAAAAACAACGACCACCCCGAACAACGACAGAAACAGTAAGCAATTTATATACAACTTGATTAACTATAAGCTCCATGGCCAAAATGGGTCTTTAAGCTCGACGCATTAGTGTTTGTTAAGTGCTTAGAGATCCTCAGAGGAAACGTGGCTCAGGAATACCAGCTATATATAAAAAAAATCTCCCAGATGACATTTTCATTTTCTCTCATCCTTTGCAAATTATCTCACCTCAGATAAATTCTCTCCCTCCCAACAAGTTTAAAAATCTATTTTCCTTCCATTCCCCTCCTATTAAAAAATAAGTACTGGGGAGAAGTCTGGCTCCATTGAAGTCAATGACAAAATTCCCATTGACATCAACGGAGCCAGAATTTTACCCCAGCCCTTTCCCTTCCTCTGTCACCACCAAGACAATTTGCTAACCAGGCTTATTGGTCTAGTCCTTACCTCCCAGCCTGTGTAATTCGTCCATTCCTGGATAGCTGGAGGCAGCGCTGCTCGAGCCTTTTTGAGGGCCTCTGCTCCTTGATTGCCATTCCCCAGCAGCCCCTGATCGTACGCCACGTACATGGCACCTCCAGCCAGGCTGCCTTTGACAACGAACCTGAGAGGGAACGAGAAGCAACAGAAACCCAGTTTGCATTACTACAGAACAGTGCTTTTCAACCAGCAGATCCCGATCCTCAGAGGGGATCGCATAAGGCAATCGGGGGTAGGAGGACGTAGTCACAAGACATTAACATTTTATTACAATCTAAACCAAAGAAAGTCTAGCTCTCCCATCCCCCACTACTCTCACTCATCAACATCAAGTATTCTTTGTCAACCTCTTAAGGCCACACACAAATACATTATATAGGCTTCTTGTTGCAACTTTTTTTAAAAAAAACCCTCATAATAAATGTAAGGGGGTCATGAAAATATTTGACTTGAAATGGTTGGCAGTGTTTTTTTTTAAAGGACTGGAACAGATCTAGATGTGGGTAAGAAATCCATATTTAATGAGGGTTCCTATTCCATCTCACTAATAAGCGCTCAGATTACTTGGTAGAAATGTGTCTTTCTGATGCAGTGAATTACATGGCGATGAGCATCTCACTCCAACCCGCTATGAATTTGTTGTGTGTTTAAGACTCGTACGGAGTGTTGGGTGTGCAAGGAACACAAGTCTGGACAACTATTAGCGATCCTGCAAAAGGGGGATGGAGATGTTTGGCTTGGGCCCTATTTGCTTCTTTATGATGGATAAGAGAGGCCTGCAGGATTTATTTTTCCTCAGTCAAAAGGGAGAAGGGGAGGGAGTTATGCTTCGTTTTTTACCATTACAATCTCAGGTCCTGTCTAATCTAGAAGACTCTATAGTAACTAGAGACCATGTCATATGGTGACATCACAAGAGCAGAGGATGTGAAAACTACAACAACTGAGAGGGCAAGGGATTTATAGTCAGATTGTTTCAAATGCTGCATTTGTTGGCTGACCTTTAATGGCAATGCTTAGCTAACATGGTGGAGAAAAGAATTCTCTGCTAAAGATTCAACACGCCCGACCCCCCCACTTCGGCCAACTCCACCCCTTCCCTGAAAGGTGTGAGCTCAGAACACACCCCATCCAGGCCTGCAGTTGGGCTTAGGGTGATCAGACAGCAAGTGTGAAAAATCGGGACAGGAGGTGTGTGGGGGGTAATAGGAGCCTATATAAGAAAAAGGCCCCAAAATCGGGACATCTGGTCACCCTAGCTCGGCTCTCAGCACAAAGCAAGGGTGGGGGGGAGTTGTCCAACTTATTTTAGGTTTTTTAAAAAACATTTCTGGCTCCCGTTACCCATGGTAAGAAAGCAGATGGTTGGGGGGGAAGGGAACCTGAGGGTGGTGGACCTGGGAACTTGGGGAGAGGCGCAGGGAGGGGAGTGTGTGAAGGAGTGAAGGGCAGTTGGGGGGCGGGGGGGCTGAAGGGGGTCAGGTAGGGCAGGCAGTTGGGTGAGGGGTTCGGGGGAAGGCTGAAGGGGCAGCTGGGGGAGGCAATGGGGGGGGAAGGGGACCTGGGGCAATGGGGGAAGGCTGAAGGGGCAGTTGGGGGACAGGGGGGAGGCTGAAGGGGGCAGTTGGGAGAGGCAATGGGGGAAGGCTGAAGGGGCAGTTGGGGGACAGGGGGGAGGCTGAAGGGGGCAGTTGGGGGAGGCGATGGGGAAAGGGGACCAGGAGCGGTTGACGGGGCTGATGTGGGGGGAAGGGGACATGGGGCAGTGAGGGGCAGTTGGGGAGGTTGAAGGGGCAGCTGCGGGGGGAGACTGGGGGATGGGGGAATGAAGGGGGCAATGATGAGCGGTTGGGGGAGTAATGGGGGGGAAGGGGACCAGGGGCAGGTGGGGGGATGGGGGAGCGATGGGGGGGGAAGGGGACATGGGGCGCTGAGGGGCGGTTGAAGGAGACGGGGGGGGCCGAGGGCGGGAGTCCGGGGGGGGCCACGGAGGCGGGGCGCTGCGGGAACCGAGGTGACCCCCGAGGCGCGAACCGCCCCGCCCGCCTCACCTGACGACGGGGAAGACCCGCGAAGAAGCCATGACAGCGACCCAAGGGCAGCAGCGAGCGCTCGCCCGGCTGATCCGCGCCCGGCCTGGCCGCGCCGCGCCGCAAAGGCTTTCGGGCGTTGTAGTCTCGGCTTCCTGCCGGGCCCGCTGGTCACGTGGTCAGCGCCGGCGGGTGGGCGGGCGGCGATCATTGTTACCCGTACAGAGTACGTCACTCACCCCCGCCCACCCCCCGCGTAATCACGTGACCAGGAGCGCCCACACACTTCCGCCTCGGTAGCTGTCATGGCGGCCAGGCCGGGTTCAGGTGAGGGCGGAGCTAGACACGTGACCTCCCCGCCCGGTGACTGGTCCCCGCCTCTTAAGGTCACCCCCCTGCAGACAGGTAGGTCGGGGGAGGGGGAATGGGCCGGGCCTGGGTCCAGGTCCAGGTCCAGGTCCAGGTCCAGCCCGGGGTGGGAGCTGGGAGGGTGCAGGATGCAGGCTGGAAAAGCACCTGCCGCGGGCAGCGAGCAAAGCGAACCAGCGACACGAGCCCCGCAGCTCTGCTCAGCCCCCCCCAATCCCGGCTCCCTGCAACCAGCTGCCGCCCCCCCGGGGCCACGCGCACCCAGCTCCCGGGGCTGCCCTGCGACCTGCCCCCCAGCCCCGCGCTGCCCCCCAGCCCGCCTGCTGCGCGCAATGCCCGTGCCTAGGACATCGCATCGACCATGAACTAAAGCGATAGGCGAACTCCCGCCGGCTCTTTACCAATGTACCTTGACCGGGCTGCCCTGGGAGCCGGCTGAGGTCACTCAATCAGGGTGAACTGCAAACCAAACAGGGCCGCCAAACCCCCAACCCTGGGGGATAGTCCAATATTTACATTTACCAACCAGCACAAAACCGCTTCTGTTGTACCGCACTGGTTACGCAGAAATCCAAACAACACAGCGCCCTTAAAGTACCCAGCCTCAGGCCTCCGTCCAGATATGATGATGATGACTGAAAATCTGACTTCATCATATAAAAGAAAAGGTTCTTCCAATCCCAAAGGATCAGTCACATACCCAGGTCCAATTATAACTTAGCTCTTACCCAAAATACACACTATAGTCAATTCTTACTAACTAAGCTACGATTTATTAAAAAAGAAAAGGGAGAGAGTGTTGGTTAAAAGATCAACATACATACAGACTTGAATTCAATTCTTGAGGTTCAGATACATAGCAGAGGTGAGCTTGTAGTTGCCAAAAATCCTTTTAGAAATAGTCCATAGGTTATAGTCCAATGTCCATATTCAGGGTGACTCCAGTCAATGACTGGGGATCTCAATCCTTGTGGCTTAAGGTTTCCCCCTCTTGAAATCCAAAGCAGATCTGAGATGAAGTAGGATCGTGTCCCAGAGTTCTTATACATTTCCAGCAGCCTTTCGGCCTGAGAAAACAATAGGCTTAATTCTCCTTCTCTCAAACATCCTGGCAATTAGCACAGATTAATCTATCCATTAAACAGTTCAGATACAGATTACCACAACCTTCAAAGAGACATATAGACAATAATACTATTTCACTCAAGTATCATCATAAATGTTAATATTCCTTTTTGATCTTCAAATTAAAGTTACAGCAATAGACAAGACTTGTTTGCTTACATCACAAGACCTGAGCAAACATTTACCCTTGAGATCTCTAACAATGCAGACTTGCATTTCAAAGCTCTATTCATTAACATATCTTCCTAACCAGTTTCTACAATTCACCCATGGGTCAGGTCAGTCTGAGTTAATTAACTCTTTCTGGCCCTGTCATCTTTCAATGAAATATTATTTTACACTCATAACGTCACAGCCACAATTCCTGCTCCCTGTAATAAGCAGCCTTCTCGCTGCTATCCCAGAATCTCTGTCTACACTAAGATGCATCCCACCAGCCCCCGTATGCTGCAAAAAACATGCACTGAAAATGCAGCTTGCTGTCAGCCCAATAGACCTGGTACATAAATAAAATAAATATAAAATTCCATGCAGTGTTGCAACGTGCACTAAAATCACATTTCACGTGGCCACACCATCTTGCAACATGCACTAAACACGCGTTGCACCCTTAGCGACGCAATTCTGCTACATGCCTTAAAAATGCATTTGACTGTTACTGACATCATCCTGCTGCATGGAAATATATTGCATCTCTCCATTATTTCACAATAAGGCACCAAGATATAAAAGGTATCTATCTCACTCACATCCCGTCATCCCTGCTACCTGCAGGTAAATGCAGCCCTGCGACAAGTAATGAAATCCATCTAATAATCTGCAATAAAAATCTGTGCCGCTATTATTACTGTATTCGTTTTGTTATTTACAAACATACTGTAGAGTTAGATATGATCTTTTCTCCTGTTTACTTTTTAGGGCCCCGATCCTGCAAAGGGCTTTCTGTGAGCCGGGATTGTAACCCCCGTGGTCATTCTCACTGGAGTGAGTGGGGGGAAATAACTTAGGTTCAGCTTGTCACAGAGTACATGGGGCCTTGTGTATAGGCCCTGATCCTGTTTGCCCTTGAAGTCGTTGGCAAAAGTCCCGTTAACTTCAATAGGAACATGAACAGATGCTATGGCCCTAATCCTGCAATTAAATCCTTGTGTGTAGCAGACGTGTCTCAATGTGCAGCCCCGTTCCTTTCCGTTGGGCTTTATGTGAATGAAGGGGTCCATCCCCACAGATCCAATTGCAGGATTGGGTCACAGTTTCTGTGAAAGCAAAGTTAGCTGGAGTAAGACTCTCTGACCACCACTCTCCTGGAGCCTTGCTGGAAATGGGACATTTATCTCATGAGGCTGTCAGAGCGCACAACCCTGCCAATAGATATTTATTGTTACATTTGTGAGGCTTTAGATGTATAGCTACCAAGCCTTAAAATTAAGGTAATACAGACAACTTTAAAACCACCCTTCTCTACGTGAATTCTTTACCTTGGTTGTTATCAACAACACTTAAGGTGACTATGGCTGAAAGAGAATACAGGAGAAAAAAGATTTGTCACTGCCTTTTTTCCATTGATTGACTTTGTGGCATTTGACAGCACTTTGCATATAGCCTTTCCCCCGTCATTTGTTTGGGTCTTTCACACCTCAACGGGAAGGCCAACTAATTTTTAAATGTAGGAAAGTGTGGTTGCAAAGCCCTGGACATTGACAGCATGTCTTAGGGATAGATGGATTGTTAACTCTAAAAAATGATCTTGTGTTGACTGTCTCTTTAAGTGTTAAGGGGAGTGGCTAGTGATGCTAAAACTATGTAAGTGAAAGAGAGAGGAGAGAAAGGTCAGAAGAAGGGGAGGAGTGTTTCTGGCAAGTGATACCCAGTTTGCTAAGTGGATGATATTAGTATTTCAGTGCTGGGTTAGGTCTTTAGTTTTCCTTTTGCAGATCATATCCTTAAAGGAGGAGTAAAGAAGTAAAATCCCCCCACTTCTTGTCCATCACTGTAAGTTTGTATATCATGTTAAGTGTGCCTAATACACTGAGATCCTTTGGGATGGAAAGTGACATATAAATATAACTTGTCGATATTTTTACCGGGGTTTGGAATCAGTTTTAAATGTTACATTTTTGGGGACAGGGGGAGGTGAAATCAGTTTATGGTGCTGAAAAAAATGGGGTTTCATTTATTTTGCATTTCAGATTTGATATATTTTGAGGATCGTGGCAATAAGTTGCATAACGTATGTGTCGGGCATATAGAATCTAAGGGAAAGTTAGATTTTCAGTTCATGGCTAAAACTGGGAGTTGGTGCTGATTCTGCAATTCTTTGCTGAGATGTTCCATTAAGGGTAGAAATGACTTTTTGATTCTTTTTTAATCCTGTTCATTCAAGACAGACAGACAGACAGATACAGGGCATGAGAAAGGGCTGTTTCTTTGATAGCTGTTTTGGAAAGATTGAGTGATGATGAGAATATAATGCCTTTCCCCTCCATATCACTGACAAATCACAGTGAAAGCAAGTTAACAGCGTCTGAGGGCTGTGTGGTGTCCTGCATGTTATGAGTTTGGTAGGTCTGTCTATTTCTCTGTGGATAAGTGTCTGCATGACAAAGACCATCAACAATCTCATCAGAGAGGGCAGTGACTGAAAGAGCTAAGGAAACCGTAGCCCTTTTCTCTAGGGGAGCTCCTCTGAGTTTTGGGTTGAAGTGTGATGTATTGGCAAGAGTGGAAGATCGGGTCGAGCAATGAGCACATTGTCAAGACCGAGAGGGAGGGATGGGCAGATAGATAACAACCCTTTAAGCTATTTGGGAAGGTAAAGGATGGTTGTGTAGCTAAGGATTGAGAGTCAGAATTCCCGAGTTCACTTGCCAGCTCTGACCGTTCTCTCGCTGTGCCTCAGTTTCTCCAATCTGTAAAATGGCAATAATGATACTACCCAACTCACAGAGGGGGCTGCGAGGACAAATTCATTAATGTCTAGAAGTTGCTATGTACAGTACTTTACTACGGGCCTGATTCTTATCTGTCTCCACATTTGCCAGGGTGCGACTCCAGTGACTTTAGAGGAAATCCTTCCTATTACACTGGATTATGCAAGCGACCTTGGTTTTAAGTGCCCCTAACATATACATTTTATTGTTGTTATAACTAGAAATGCTTTGATAATAAAAAACAAGTCATTTGCTAAAATTTAAAAAAATTAGGCACTCAGTAGGGGTTACTCTAGTAACCCATTAAAAGTGACACGCTCTGTTTAAGATAGCTATAAAAAAATTAAGTAAAAGTAAATACCTCAGAGGAGTCCGAGGGAGCTTTTTCTCGGGCAAGAAGCGGACACTCCAAACTCCCCAGCAGGAAGGCAACTGGCCATCGACGACCTGCTGTCACCGCCTCTCAACCATGTCAGACTTTGGAAATTATGTCTTGGAATGCTCTAAACCTGTTGCTGTAATATAAGTTTGTGTGTGTGCGCTTAAGGCTCAATAAAAAGTCGTTTTAGGTGCTGTAAAAGCATTCTGGTTTGTATCAATCATGTATCAGACAGAAAAACGGTGTCCCTGTTGATTTATTCCTGGGAAAAAGCTAGTTAAATAACCACTGCTTTGTGATCTGAAACCCTGAGTAACAGATTGGCAAGCTAATTGCCAGGAGTTGTGGTGAGGAAGGGCATGATTGATATAAACAGTTAGTTTGTTTATTTGCATACGCAAGGCACTGTCATTAGCTTGGCCAATTCGTAGCATGCATCTGATTTGTCAAAGATTTCTTTGTCCTTAGTCCTCAAATTCCAGTGCAACTGCGTCAAACATCATGTTCCCGAGCAGGGTCAGCTCCTTTGAGGACAACCTTCTAGGAGGGATTGCCACGTAACAGCAGAGCAGATTACAAATTCCGGCCAGTGACGAAAGGTAGCATCTAAACAGGTGAGTCTGTCTCTTGATCCCACTTGGGACAAGCTAAAATGCTACTGGGATGTTCATTGCTCAAGTTGCCTGGGGCTGACTGAGAACCCCAAGGTGGCAATAACTGGGCACTCAGAACTCTTTCATCTTGGCTTTCACCAGGACACATCACAGACTGCCCCCCACCCCATCCCTCCAGCTGCTCTTACTGGACCCCCCCCCTCCAGCTGCCCTGGAGTTTAGGGCAAGGAGGAAAGTTGCACACGCTGAGTCTGACACTCAGCTGCTGTAAATCGGCTCTGCTCCGTTGATTTTCAGGGTTGATTTACATTAGCTGGGGCTCTGGGACTGAATCTGGAGCCTGGAGGTCAGGGACCCAATCAAATGGTGCTACTGGGGGAGGCAGGGCAAATTCCCTTGGACCTGCCCTGGGAGCAACCATTGCCCCACAACTCTGCTTCCTTTCCTGTTAGTTTTTAACCACAACAGGACTTTGCTTCTTGCTTTGTTGTTATTTATGGTCCTGTATCCGTATCAAAGGTCCCAGGTGAACAAGAAAGGCACAGAGTGTTAACCTGACTTATCCAAGGGCCATATCAATCTGTAATGAATTAGACCTTGGAAAGCCAAGCAGCTTGCACTGCGTCCAAGGGGAACCTCAGCCCTGCAGTGTTGGGGGCAGGGTCCTACGGGGCAGCTTGAATTTACCCCATGGGAACTCTGGTGGAAGCTGCTCCTTCGATCAGCTGGGCCTTACCCCCTTCTCAGCAACCATCAACTGCAGCTATTTCGCTCCCGGGCCTCCCCAACTATTATTAGCTGCCAGTGGGGACTTCCCTTGCCAGTTCACACACTTGCCATTACGCTGTTCACACAGGCCGGCTCCCTGCGCACAGGGCGGAGGTTGACGGCGCTTGGGACACTGCACTCACCCTTGAGGCGCTCTTCGTTCATTCCCCCCAAGGCTTTGGGGAGGATGATCCCACCTGGGAAAGTGCTTTGTACTGCTGGGATTATAGTTGGGCTCCTGGCTTTCTTCTGGAGAGACACCTTTAACCCAGGTAGGCGGAGAGAGGAAACAGACAGAGCTTGGAAAGAGGCTTCCGGTGGGGGTGGGAGAGAGTGTGGGTGGGTGTGTGGGTGTGGCTGAGAGCCATTGAACCAAACTGTAAAGCTTGTCTGTGATGGAAACCACCTCTCCCAGCACCTATGGAAGGTGAATGGGGGACGGGGAGTGTTCCCAAACTGTGGTCTGTGGAACGCTTGCCTGTGGTCTAGAGAGAGCTGGCTGACCACAGGGAGCTGCCTCTCCTTGTTTCCACCTGCAGAGAAGAGCCGGGAATGGGCGATAGGGGATGGATCGCTTGATGATTGCCTGTTCTGTTCATTCCCTCTGGGGCACCTAGTATTGGCTAATGATATAGGACAGGA